CGGGGGCCGGCAGGGCTGGTGTCTCTGAGTTGGAATCGGCCCTAACAAAGGGGACAGTGACAGCCACAGCCACTGTCCCGGAGCGCTAGGGTCTGGGGAACCTCCACTGCCCCCCAACTCGGAGGGGCTGGGAATTTCCACTAGGGCCCTGGCGCAAGCCTGCCTCTGCTAATTAAGCCGTGACATCCGTCTGTGCTTTTGTGAGGTTCACCCTCCGTAAGGTGGGGATGATACAAGCTCGGCTCCCCCTGGGGTTGCTGTGCCTGGCACGAAGTCAGGGCTCAGGAAATATCTGGTGCTGCTACAGGTGAGTAAACTGAGGCACACACGCCACGCCCCTGAGCGACAGGGAGAGAGACTAGGACTCCAGCCAAATGTCAGCTACACTCTCAAAGCCAATAATGCCAGTTGTATTAGGCCGGGCGGCCCACACCTGTCATCCCAGCACTCTGGGAGGCTGAGGCAGGAGGGTCACAAGTTCATTGCCAGGCTGGGTAATTCAATGACACAGCGATACCCCTCTCTCTAAATAAGAAATACAAGAAGAGCTGGAGATGTAACTCTGCAAAGGCCCTGGGTTCCATTCCCAGTGGCCCCCATAAGAGCCAAGAGTCACGGCCAGTACAGTTGCTGCCCGCCTCTGCAGGTATGGGCCTTGGGGTGGGGCCCTAGGGGCGCAGAGGGCTCACCGGAAGCGCTGTGTCTGGTGGTGCAGGGGGCCCGCGTAGCGCCGGGCTGAGGACTGGTAGAGGTGGGTGAGCAGTGCCTGCCCGGTCTTCTGGCTCGGGTTGTTGGCGAACTTGACGGTGATGGGCTCGGCCGCACCCAGCGGCTTCTGCCCGTTCAGTCCTTTGATGGCCTCCTCGGCCTCGATTCTCTTGTCGAAGCGAATGAATCCCACCCCCCTAGAGACCCCTGCCGGGGGTAGGGGGTGGACGTGGCCATCAGAGCGAGCGGCGGACGCTTCCCACGTGACCGGGCCCTTCCCACGTGACCGGGCCCTTCCCACGTGACTCTACCCACCCCGTCTCCCCCAGGTCTCCCAGCTGGTGCCACCCTCCCCGCCCCATGGCCTGACCTGTGACCTGGTCCACCAGGATGCGCGAGGTGATGATGCGGCCGTATTGTGAGAAGAGCTGTTCCATTTCTTTCTGGCTCATGGTCTTGGGAAGCCCGCTGACGTACAGGTTAGCATCCCGGATGGACGCAGAGCTGGGCCTGGCGTAGGACACCTGGGCCAGGGGGGCAGAGGGACGGGGTGAGGTGGGCTCCAACTTGAAATCCTCCTGCCTCAGCCTCCTGCGTGCAGCTGGGGTTACAGGTGTTGGCTACTGCATCCAGCAATAATATCTCTTCCATTGATTCCATGAGTGGAGCAGAGCAGGGAAGGCACGGGAGGAGACGTGGCCATGGGTACAGGACAAGGGATCCTAACCCTAACCCCAACCCTAAAAGCCACGACAGCTTCATCCTTTGGTCCCCAGCCCTGGGTGTCCCTGATACCTACCTGTCCTTCACAGCCACCCTGTCTCAGCCATCACCACGGAACCTGGCTGCTATGCTCACTTGGTTCCCCCCATGGCAGCCAGAGGGCGCCTGTGAACACCTAAGCAAAGTCACTGCCTCTGCACAGAACCTTCTATGGCTTCCACCTTCCTTGGTATTAAAGTCCTTCTTGGAGCTCACGACGCCTTGCATATCCTGCCCATCAGCTGTCCCAACTGCCCTGATCTCTCCCCAGCTTTCCCCCCATTTGCTCTGATTCAGCCACAGGGCCTGGTATGTGCTGTGCTCTCTCTGCCTGGAACTCTTTCTCCTTTTTCTTCTCCAGGTCCCAGCTGAAACCTCTCCCCTGTCTCCACCCCACAGTCCCATCTCAATTCACTTTCTCAGAGCACATCTTTCCCTTGTGAATTTACACGCTGCAGTGTGATCCTTCGATTCCAGTCGCTGCACAGGGCCCAGCCCAACCCTGAAACGCTGCAGCTGTTGAAAAAATGCTGGACGCGAACATTTATTCCCTCAAACAGTGCTGAGTATTGTGAATCGGGGAAAGAAAAGTCCATTTACGAGACAGCCAGCATTATGTGACCCCACCCCATGCACGGCCTCAGACTCAGTCTGAGCTCTGCCCCCAAACGCTGCTGGGACCTGTGGGGGCAGGAGGAGCCCCGCCCTGCACTGCTGCCACATCTGGTCTTCCTCTTCCCCGCTACCTCCCCGTAGTCAGGTCGGTGCTGAGCCTGGCGTTGTTTGGAGCCGTGAATAGTGAGGGTGTATTATTTCATCAGAAATAGCTAATTAAGAACAAAATAAATACACCGAGCAGGGTGGACTGGGTGGGGCTGGATTCTGCTTAATGCGACTACACACCTGGGGTCCTCCAGGAACAAACAGACACACACAGCAGCTGGCCCCCAGTATGTTTATATCGTTTGGTTTTGTTTTTGTGGCACTGGGGGTTGGACCCAGGGCCTTCAAACTCAGCTACATCCCCAGCTCTTTTAATTTTGAGACAGGGTCTCCCTAAACTGCTAGACCTTAAACTTGCAACCCTCCTGCCTCAGCCTTCCCGGTAGCTGAGATTACAGGAGAGAGCTGCTGTGCCCCGTTGAGGATTGGCTTGATGGGTCAGATATAGGGATGAGGGAATGAGGGCCCTGAGCTCCAAGGTGGGGTTCAGGGTCTGAGATCCCCTGAGGCACACAGTAGGTCTTCACAGGCCTTTCTCCTCCCTCCACACAGGGGCTCCCTGGGGGCAGCAGTGGCAAATTTCTCCCACACCAGGATGGCACCTGGCACACACGTGAGGGAAAACACTGGTCTGAATCTGCCAGGACACGGCAGGGCCCGACCGCGTGACGCAGCCTCGGGGACCCACGGGGTGCCACCATGCAGCACAGCCACCAGCAAGGGGTGTCACCACGACACTCCCAGGTCCCCTGGGGCACGAGGCGCTTGAGAAGGACACACACCTGTCACCCACAGAGCACCCAGGTCACACACGTTCTGACCCTGTGGGCGCAGACACCCACACAGCGTCATGTGGATGCACAAACACCCCATGGAGCCAGACACACCGCGCTGGCCCCAGGTCCCAGCCGTGTGGGTGTCACAGTCACCTTCCCTCAGACACCAGCTTCTCCAGACTGCAGGGACACACGCCTGTCCCAGCTGGCCAGAGCAGCAGGACAGAAGCCAGCTGTATAGATGCTGTGTTACACAACGGCCATGTCCCTAAACACAGCTCGGAGTGTCACACACGCACACACACGAGCGCACACTTGTATGTGGTCACTGGTGCCCACCCTCACACACCGGGGTCCAGCTGGCCGCAGAGGGCCAAGGAGGCCGTAGCCTCTTTCCTGCACAGCAGGCCCAAGTCAGTGACAGGAAGAGGTCCCTCACCTCAGTCCCTATGCAAACCGGGGGCCAGATGGGCACCCCCATGGGGCCTCCCTCTGAGTCCTGCAGCAGATTTGTGGGGCGGAGCTCACATCCCCCCCAGGCAAACCCGGAGAGGGGGTTTCCATGGTGACCCCCCAAGGGAACCAGGCTCTCAGGGTCCCGGCTGCAGCTGCGGGGAGGGGAGCTGTGGGGGAGGGGCGCCCCTAATCCCCACATCCTACACCCTAATTAGGCTCCAGATGGCAGATGGGCCCCCACCTCCACGGGCTGGACAAAGGCAGGCCGGGGGCGGCCCCCGAGACCCGGTCACACTCACTCGGTCCCACCTCTGGGGTCTGGATGGCTTCGCAAGCTTCCGGAGGTGCTGGGGCTCCCGTGAGCCCCACTAACAGGCCAGGAAACTGAGGTTTGGAGAAACAAAGCAACTGCCTCCCGCACCCCCCACCCCCATGCCCCGCAGCCAGGAGCCCAAGGCGAGGCTGGGACCTGGGGCGCGGGGCTGCACCCACCTTGATGGTCTTGGTCTGCAGTTTGAGGCCGTTGAGGGTGTTTATGGCTTTGTCTGCGTCGTTGGGATCGGAATAGTTCACAAACCCGTAGCCGAGGCTTTGCCCTGGGTGCGAGATCAGGATGCGGGTTCGGCCCCTCCCGTGGCCCAGGGCCACCCCGTCCCCGGGGCCCCCCGCCAAAGGCCACACCTGTGATCTTGTCCCGAACCAGCTTGCAGGACTCGATGTCCCCGATGCTGCCGAACAGACTCTTGAACTCGTCCTGGGTCATGTTCTGGGGCAGGTAGTTGACGATGAGGTTGGTCTTGCTGTCGTCAGTCGCTCCGTTGGTGCCCAGGAGCGGCCCGTTGGGCAGGGCCGGGCCGGCCGGGCCCCCCCCCACCTGAGACTCCATGGCCCCCAGTATCTGCTGGAGACAACAGGTCGGACCCGCTCACTGCCCAGTCCCTCAAAGGGGAGGAGAGCGGATTGGTCCACGGAGGAGCCATGTCCCGGGGCTTCGTCACTGCCGCGAACCATGCTAATTTATGTTTGTGAGACAAGGTATGTAACCCAGGCTGGCCTTGAGCTCACAGCGATCCTCCTGCCTCGGCCTCCCTAACGCTGGGATGGCAGGTGCGTACCATCACGCCCCGCAACAATGTTTTATTCTTTTTTGGTACCGGACATGGAACTGGGGTCCTTGCAACCACGGAGCTAAATCCCTGGCCCAGCAACGTTTCCTTCTCATTTCCTCCTGCTTATCAGCAAAGGCAAACAAAACAACCCCCCTGACATTATTTGCCGGCAAGAAATTCCATATACAAAATACCATTTGCAGCTGGCAGGGCTGTGGGGGACAAGGAAGCCGTCTTCACTGTTGGTGGAGCGCAGACTGGGGTAACCACTGTGGAGATCAGTGTGGAGACTCCTCAGAACACTGAAACTAGGGGTTCCATGTGACCCAGCTGTTTCCCTTCCTGGTATCTTCCCAAAAGAATCAAAAGCATCAGACTGCAGAGCTATATGCACACCCATGTTTATAGCAGCACAGTCCGTGATAGCTAAATCTTGGAAACAGCCCAAATGCCCATCAACCGAGTGGATAAAGATGTCATTTTTCTATATAATGGAGTACTACTCTGCTGTAAAGATGGATGGAACATTTCTAGCTAAATGAGACTATTACTCTCTCTCTCTCTTTTTTTTTTTTGGTACTGGGGATTGAACTCAGGACCTTGCACTTGCAAAGCAGGTGGTGTGCCACTGAGCTACGTCTCTGGCCCTAGACCATACTCTTAAGTGAAATAAATCTAACACATGTGTAAATACTGCACTGTTTCTCTGGTGTGAGAAACTGAAAAGTGGAAATAAGGACTAAAATGTATAATAGATATTGGGAAATGGGAAGGAAATGTTTAAATAGGAAGGGGAACAAGGGAGGGGGAAGGGAGAAAGGAAGGAAAGCACAAGAAAAAGAAAGTAAAAATGAAACATAATGGAAACAGACAGCTGGGTGTGGTGGCGCATGCCTGTCATCCCAGCACTTGGGAGGAGGCTGAGGCAGGAGGATCGCTGTGAGTTCGAGACCAGCCTGAGCTACATAGTGAGTTCCAGGTCAGTCTAACTACATAGGGAGACCCTGTCTCAAAAAACCAAAGCCAAGGGCCAGGGATTTAGCTTAGTGATTCGGTGGCCTGCCTTGTAAGCGCAAGGACCTGAGTTCAATCCCTGGTACAAAAAAAAAAAACCCAAACCCAAAACAAAACAAAAAAATGTAAACAAAGCTTTTCCGTACAGGGAGTGGAGGGGTTGAGGGGAGGGAGGAAGGGGAAAAAAAAGAAGAGGCAGGATGTACCATGTGCAGGTGCAGATTCCCTATGATGAGCGTCATTATTACCTATGCCTAAAATGTACCAATAAATGTTTTGCTTAAAAAAATAAAAAACAAAGTACAGTTTGCTAGGAGTTGCAAGTCTCCCAAAGTTTCATGGGATAGAAGCTTGGCCTTCAGGGTAGGGAGTGTGGCACCTTTAAGAGGCGGGACCATGGAAGGTAATTAGGTCATTGGGGGCATTGCCCTTGGAAGGGATTAAGGCTGCTCTCAAGGGACCCTGGTTAGTCTCGAGGCTGCCCTAAGCGCATGTCCTCTTCGGCACACAGCTATCCCTCTCTGCTTCTCCATCACATTTACACTGAGCCAACAGAGCCCTAATCGGAGGCCAAACACATGTGCCCTGATCTTTTAACTTTCTGCTTCCAAAACTGACCTTGCTGGCCTTGAGCTCACTGTATAGCCTAGGCTGGCCTCAAACTCATGGTGACCCTCCTGCCTGCCTCAGCTTCCTGAGCTAAATAAGCCTTTTTATAAGTATTTAGACTCAGGCATTTTGTTACAACTTTAAAAGCAGGCAATAGGCCAGGTGTGGTGACGCATGCCTGTAACTGCAGCATTTGGGAGGCTGAGGCAGGACAGCCTGGGCTACACAGTGAGTTCAAAGCCAGCTTGAACTATGTAGCAAGACCTTGTCTGAAACAAACAGGCAAATACATCAACAACCAAACAGCCAGGAGAGGTGGTGCATGCATGTAACTACAGCACTCGGGAGGCTGAGGCAGGAAGATTCCCATGAGTTCAAGGCCAGCCTGGACTATATAGTAAGACCCTGTCCCAAAAACCAAAAACAAAATTAAGATAAAAAACAAACCAAACAGAGGCCTAAAACCAATGTGCATTTTCAGAATAATAAAATGAACAATTTCATCTTCAGAATAACACATTTAATAATTGTAGTAGCTTTGAGTGGTCCTTCAGCCCCTCCGTAATCATGATATTTTCTTTCTCTAACCCAAGGTGATTCCAACCCCAAATGTCTTACTGTGTCTTTCCCTTCATACAGCATCTTTCCATTATATAGTTACTCTCATGATTCTTCCCTTGAGCTATTGTTTTTGGTTTGGGAATTTTTTGTTTGTTTGGCTTTCACCTATTTAGGGTTTCACTATCTGACTCAGATTGACCTTGAACTCACTATTTATAGCCCAGGCTGGCCTTGGGCATGTGGCGATCCTCCTGCCTCAGCCTCCTGAGCATTGGGATCACAGGTGTGTGCCACCATGCCCAGCTGGTTTTGGAGGCTTTGGGGTATAACAAAAGACACCTGCAAATAATGACAGCTTTATTTCATCTCCTGTCTACACCTGTTTCTTATTTTTCTTGCCCTAGTGACCAGACATGGTTAGGGAGTGGCTACAGTGTGATGGATAGTGGCGTCCACATTCCCAATGCTTTAAAAAAAGAGAGAAAAAAGCAAATAATAAATAAAAGGTGAGAAAAATCTAAAACAAGAAAAATGAAATGCTTTAAATATTTCACAGCTAAACGTTTATGATGTTTGTTATAGGTGGCCTTTAGCAGATTAAGATTTTTTTTTTTTGGCTATTTTAGAGACAGGCTGGCCTTGAAGTAGGTACCCCAAGGTAGCCTGGGACTTGGGAAAGTCCTCCTGTCTCAGCCTCCCAAGTGCTGGGTTTACAGGTATGCACCACCATGCCCAACAAGGATATTTTGTTTAAGGCTGGGGTATAGCACGGTGGTGGATTACTTGCTTATTATGCTGTCTTTTTTTTGGTACCAGGAATCTAACTCAGGTCCCTGTGCTTGCGAGGTAGGCTGCAAAACCACTGAGCTAAATCCCCGGCCCATGAGATATTTGTTAAAGGAAGTTTTTATGGACAAAATGTTAATATACCTATTGAAATGAATTTTTTAGCTTTAACACACTCATCCCATGAATTATGTTACTTCATGTTCCAAAATTAAGCCAACCGTTGCAGGACAAACTCAGCTGGGTCCTGCTTGTTGCAGGCTTGTTTACATAGACTGCTTGATTTGACTTGGTCTTTTCTCTCAGGGACTCACTCACGCATGGTAACTAAGTGGTCACCACTAGCTGCACACTCAGCCTGTGTTCTAAAACTCTGAGGATTTCTTCAGTTTTCTTTGTCTCTCAGTGCTGGGGATCAGATCCAGGGCCTCATGCTAGGCAAGGGCTCTACTGCTAAGCTGTACCCGCTGCCCGGTTTTGTACTGTATTCTCCCTCTACCTCTCTCTCTCTGCTTTTTTGAGACAGGGTCTGGCTCTATGTTTCAGGTTGGCCTTGAACTCACTGTGTAGCCTAGACTGGCTGCAAACTCTCAGCAATCCTCTTGCCTCAGCCTAAATGTTGGGATTACAGGCTTTTGCTGCCACGCCTGGCTGTTTAGTATTCTTTGCACGTGTGTTCAGTAGGCTCTGTTGTTTGTTATATAATTCACACAAAGACTCCAAAAGGGAAAAGTTAATTTTGCATGACAGATGAGGAATCAGGCTCCGAGATGTTGAGGATTTTGCTGAAGTCACAGAGCACACGGGTGGTGGACTAGAATTTAAATGCAGACCTCTCCAGACATGAAGACCACACGACCATTCTCTCACTGTGGCACATGAGTCATCCAGACTGGTAAGATCTCTGACAGCTCTGTGTCTGTTCTTGAACATGCCCCTTTAACCTCTTAAGGCTGCTTTACCGTGGGACGGTAATCAAAACAATTGGTGGGCTGGGGATTTAGCTCAGTGATGCCACCACCTGCCTCACAAGTGGAAGGTCCTGAGTTGGATCCCCAGTACCCCCCAAAAGAGAAACACCAAACAATTGGTAATCACTATCTGAAGGGCCACAGAAGAATCTTTTTTTTTTTTTTTTGTACCAGGGGGTCGAAATCAGGTCCTTGTGCTTGCAAGGCAGGCAGCAGAACCACTGAACTAAATCCCCGGCCCTAGAAGAATCTTAAAGTTGCATCCGATCCACAATGAAACTGTGCTGGGATGGATTGGTACTGTCTCTCAGGGCCCAGGAAAGTAAATCAGCCAGCTTTCCTCGGTCTCCTAAGGCTTGGCTGGTGAACAGCATCGCTGCACTTGAAAACTCACACAGGTTCAGTCCATGGGGGCGTGGACAGAGGACAGACAAAGCAAATGAACAACAAAAAACACCTCAAACTGACTGATCAGATCTTTAGAGGAATGAATTAAGAGTTTCCAAAACCAAGTTCAGTTTCTCCAGAAAAGACTGCCACGATCAGCTGGGAACCACCAGCAGTCGCATCGCGCCGTTACCTCAGCCGTCCCTGATCAGGACACAGGGCCGCAGCTGTCCCCGCCTAGCAACACGACTGCCAGGCACCACGACATAAGGCTCTGTACATGCAGGAACACCCTCCACACACTAAATTGCTCGGGCTGAGGTGGAACTTGTGACCCTCCTGCCTCAGCCTCCCAGAGTGCTGGAATGACAGGCGTGCACCGCCATCCCTGTCTAAAAATTTTCATTTCTTCTTCGTAACCCTGGACAGGGTTCCTGACCCTCCCCACCCCCATGCTTAACACACGAGGAAAAGGAAGTTAAGAGACAGTTGAGAGTCTGCCACTGACCATTCAGCGTATAAATGGTGGAGAAGCTGGGGGTCGTGGTCCATGCCTGTATCCCAGTACCCCACAGGCTGAGGCAGAAAGACTGGCTGAGCTCAAGGCCTGCTGAACTATGTCGTGAGACCCTGTTTCAAAAAAACCAAAACCAAAATCAAAAGAGGTGGACAAGGACAAGGCCCAGGAGTTCTCCTGATGCTGAGTGATGTTTCCAACTTCTGCTGCCGGCCAGGACAGGCCCAGTGCTAACGTTTACCATCTGTGCGTTCTCAGATCTACCATTTGGTGCTCCTGGGCCTCTGCTCTAGTCTGCTGCAAACTCCAAGGTATGGCCTCCTCAGGGGCCCGGGAAGGAATCAAAGCCACATGTGGGGACAGTGGGGAAGTGCTCTGGAATCCATTAGCAATGTCTGCCACAAGCACAGTCAGGAAGTGGGTGTGGGTTTGTCCCAACACCGTCCCTGCTTCCTCTCTGCTATGGAGACCCGAGACTGAGATGGTGCTATGCCCTCAGTACCCACTGTGTGCAGGCCCTGTTGCAAGGGCCTCGAGACGTTTCACTCATTCTCCCAACAATCTTTTTTCTTTTTCTTTTGGTCCTGGGGATTAAACTTGGGACCTTGTGCTTGTGAGGCAGGAAGAGGAAACACTGAGCTAAATCCCCGGCCCTCTCCCAACAATCTTGAAAGACCTTGTGCATGTTCTCCATTGTTTAAATGAGGAAACAAAGCTCAGAGTCACTGGGGGATGTGAATGGAGAGCTTTGGAACTCCCAGGGCCAAGAAATCCTCCTGCCTCAGCCTCATGAGTAGCTAGGACTGCAGATGTCCACTATTGCCCTTGTTTAACATTACTCTTTCGTCTCCTTCTTATTTTGGTATCGGGGATCAAACTAGGGCCTTGCATTTGAGAGGCAGGCAGCGGGACCACTGAGCTAAATACCTGGCCCTTCTTCTTCTTTGTGGTGTTGTCAATTGAACCCAGTGAGCAGTGTGCTACATCCCAGCCCTTTTTCTTTCTTTCTTACTGGTTTATTTTTTTGAGACAAAGTCTTGATATGTAACCCAGGCTGACCTCAGACTTGCGGTGATCCTCCTGCCTCAGCCTCCTGAGTGCTGGGATTACAGGTGTATGCCACCATACCTGGCTGCATTTATTTTTATAAAAATGATGGCATAGGGCTGGGATGTAGCCTGGCAACAAAGTGCTTGCCTGGCACATATGAAGCCGTGGGTCACACACAGTGACTCAGAAAGAACGTGACTAGTGGTGTCTGCTACTAGTGCCAGCTGTAAAGCAGCTCCTGATAGGTCACAGACCTGCATCCGGGTCTCTCCACACTACCACTGTGCCGAAAGTCAGCCGATGCAGCGCATACCTGTAATCTCAGCTCTTGGGAAACTGAGGATCAGCATGAGTTCGAGGCCAGCTAGGGCCACCTAGCGAGATCCTGCCTCAAAACAACTACAACCACTACAAAAATATAGCCTTCGAGACAAAATTTTCCACGTGAAACTTCCAAGTACTCCTCTGGACGAGGAAAACACACGGAGGGGCTTTTCTCCACTAAACACAAGAAGCCGTCTGTGAAAGGACAGGGACCTACACCATGTGACACAATATGGAAGGGGTGGATCAGAGACTGAAATCTAGGCTGTGGACCCCAGCACCCACTGTCTAAAGCCAAAGGCCAATAACATTAAAAATAGTAAGAGCTGTGAGTCATTTGAAACTAATTCTGCTTTGAAGAAGTCGTAATAGAAAAGCAGTTGAGTGACTCGCGTTTGCTATGCCTCAGGCGTGATATTTTTTTCCCCATGCTGGTTTCCAACCCAGGACCTTGCTCATGCTAGGCAAGTGCTCTATGTCAGTACACACACACACACACACACACACATCTATCTATCATCTATCTCGACAGGGTCTCATATGACAGGCGAAGCAGCATGCCGGCTACTGAGTACACCCTGACTGAGGCCCACACGTGTGGGCTGCTGGCTGTACCCCGCCCCCACGCTCCTCCCCGGTCCGGTCTCCGTCCCTGGTCCCTTCGCTGAAGTCCGCCCAGAGGCACCAGGGAGTGCAGATGAGCTCTCATCCGGGATGAGTTGGCAGTCATGCCCGCGGGGGGGGGGGGCCACCCAGCAGCCCGCGGTACCGCCCTGCCTCTGCGCACGTGCGGAGACTTCACCTTCCCTTAGTCGAGTGGGAAGGTGGAGACTTTCTGCCGGGTTTCTCAGATTTGGAAAAACTTAGGGACAGTCAGAAGGGCCTAGGACTTACTCAGGGTGACAAAAGGAAGTGGAGGCGAGGAAGGCAGAATTTCACTTCTAATCCAGAGTTTATGGAGTCATGAGTTGCAGACCCCGGCCCTTCCAGTTTGGATGGAAATAGGATCGGATGGGTCAGATTCTGGTTCTTTTTTTTTTTTTCTGTACTGGAGATTGAACCCAGGGCCTTCCAGTAGGTTACACTCTCAATCCTTTTTATTTTGAGACAGGGTCTTGCTAAGTCACTAAATATCCAGGCTGGGTTTGAACTTGCAATCCTCCTGCCTCAGCCTGCCCAAGTACGGGATTACAGGAGTCCACTGCACCCGGCCTACTCACCCCACCAGCACCCCTTCTCCATTGCACCTGTGCCAGAGCTTAGCAGGGGTCAGGGTCACGTTGTGCCCTAAGTGGCTGAGCTGGCTGAGCCTATGTCGGGGATCAGACTGGTGCAGGCCACACCCTCCCTGCTCCAGCTGGCCGCGGGCCGTGTCCTGGGAGGACGGCGTCAAAGGGACTGGTCCAGAACAGAGCAGTGGGGAGGCTGGGAGGGAGGACATGGCCAAGATGGAGGCCGGGCTTGCCAGGGACCCAGGGAACCTTCCAGCCCACCTCTCTCGCTCTTCCACTGTGCTCTGAGGTTTTGCCTCTTCTGGTTTCTCTCCACCTCACTGCCCGCCTTGTCCCTTCCCCTGTCACTAACTGTTTTGCACCAAGGCACGTACCTGTGACAGACACATGGCTTTGGTGTGAAGGAACCTGAGACCAATTGCTCTACACCCTCCTGCGCTTGACCCTTTCTGCCCCCAGCCGCACCCGGGGCCCAGTCACAGGGACAGACCCCGGGCGCCAGCGACAATAGGGCATTGATTGGCCGTGCCCAGGAAGGCCCAGCCACCACGTGGTGCCGGCGGAGCCTCCTACCTCTGGGTCCTTGTCCTTCCAGGCTGGGCCCTCACCGTCTCCACCAATCCCCACTTCCTCGCCACCTATCCCGTGATGTCGGTGCCTCAGTGTCCCTGCATTGGTGTTCACAGGCCCCGGAAGGCCTCAAGCCCTCGTGTGACCTCTGACCACACCCTTTTCCCCTTTGGGAATCACTTTGCCCTTTCTCAAAAGCGGGGAACAAATAAAGGGAGGCCTAGGGATGCTGGACTGTCCCGGGGGTTCCGAGGGTCCGTAGGAGGCCACGCTCCCGTACACAGGGAGCGAGCAGCGCCGCCGGGAGGGGTTAGAAGCCGGCTCGAGGTCACACGTAGGGGGAGTAGGGGGAGCCGGGGCCTCGCTCTTCAGTGCCAGGTGGGCGGGACCCAGGGTCCAGAGAGGCCCAGACTTGGGGGGGCCCTGAGCGTCCCCACACCCACTGTGCCGGCCACGACTCGAAGTCAGGGCTCCAGGAAGACACACGGTCCAGAGACACACGCAGAGACAGAGAGACAGGGAGAACCGAGAAGGGAGGCCCGGGCGCTGGGACCAGACAAAGGACGCGCGGCGGCGCGGGGCGCTGAGTCTCGCGGCAGGGGCG